CAAACCAGCTCACATTGGCCAGCTGTTAGTTTTCTTTCTATAAAGTCCCTGCATTCCTTATAAACAACTTTTTAGAAAATCATTTTTCTCCTCCAAATCCCTCCTTAAAGTCTTTTGCTGTGATGTCTAAATAAAATCTGGACAAGACTTATGTCCTGGTGTGCTAAGAATTCTGCCTGTCGAGCTGACCAACATCAGATGTTCAAAAAAAAGGACTGGAGGGTAACTATTCACTGTATTTTAGCTGGTCTTCAGTAACTGTCTGTGATTGTGCCCTTAGCCTATGGCAATGCAAAGTAATTTGAGTTAGCATAGTCGTCTTTCATTGACTGCAAACTGCAACTTTTTATAGTTAAATATTTATTAATGCTTGAAACCCTTTTCTTGTACTAAAACTGTGCCCTCTTTCATTGAGAGCTAATGTAACATGAATTGCCTTGCATTTACTGTGGGCTGAGAGTGTGCACATGGACAGTTACCTGGCAGTTATCTAGCATAACAGTAACCGTACAGTTCACAGCAGACTGCCCATAATTCAAAAGGCACAAGGTGAAATACTTGTAAGTGGGGAGAGGGACTGAGAATTACACAAAATTCAGAAACATAATTTCACCTTGATTTTCACTTCCAGTCTGTTAGATTCTAGGATCTTGTGTGCTTTTAATTTCTCTACTGTAGTGAAGTATATGCTCCACTGACCATATGTTATTCTTGATGTTTCTTCAGATAGAAAATAGGAGGCATTTGAGGATAAGATTTCCAATATGGCAGTAGCATTTTCTTCCTGAAAATTCATGAACCTTTCAGCCTGCTGTTGTCTTCTTCCACTCCCTATTCTTTCTTTCCTGGGAAAGTGAGTTTGAGAGAGATTGTAACTTGTGACCCTGTCTTTATGAACTTGCATAAGCATGTCATGGTATTTTAGAGGGATACAGTGTAAATGCTATCTATCTATCTATCTATCTATCTATTTATTTTTATTGTGGTTGTGTGTAGGTTTTTGGAGTTTAAGTATAGATGACGAAATACAGTGATTGAAATTTGGAGGTGGGGTTAAGGTTCCTTTAAGAGCTCATCAAATAAAAATAAAGAAAATATATATGTATTTTTCCCAAAAGAGTAATCTCACTGTTGTGTTTTCCAAGCTGCACTTAAAGCTAATATGTGAAGAGTAAAAATAATAACTAATAACGGTATGGTTTAGGCAATATGCTGTGTTTTATTCTTAAAAGCATTTCAACAGAGGCTCTCTTCTGGTAGTTATTTTTCAGAGAAAAAAAAGTTATATAGCTGTTACATAGACTGCATGAGTTTTTATTAAAAATTGTTATCGACTTTGGGTTTTATCTTAGTAAATGTATTTGTTCTTCCTGTTTTTTATGAAACTATGTATTCTACATTGAGTATTATGAAAATCTGTACTACAAACACCAGTGTTAATAGCGTAGTATTTTAGTCCTTCACAAATTAATGCCTGTGGTAACTGGATGATTTTAGGCCTGTTCTTATAAACAAGGCCTTACTGATGTGCAAGGAACAGGAATATGTGGCAAAAACTCCGCACTAACCAATGTAAGCAGTATAAATGGGGTGTAGGAATCCTCTGTTAGACTAAAAATCTCCAAGAGAAAATCTCCAGAGCCTACAAATTAAAGACCTCCAATATCATTTTAAAATAAAGCCTTTTATGTAGTAGGAGAGCATTTTTTCACCTGATAATCAAATGACACTATTATGCAGGCTTACTAGATTTGCAAATTTACAAGTTTTTACAAGTCAGTTGGGTCCCTTCCTCAGGAAATCAGTTTAAGTTTTTTTTTCCTGTATTGACTCAAAGAGCCTGGTTGTCCTTAAATCCTTCTGAATATACTTGCCTTATAATTTGACGGCATTGAGTCAACACCCTTATAGGAACAGTAATGCAATAAAAAGAGAAACTGTTCAATATAGTTTCCAGTTACCTTAGGATCAGATTTGGAGAAACTGGAATGTACACAATAAAACCTGTGCAAGACTTGAGTTCCGTGGTGTTTTGGAAGCAACCAGTGCTTTTCAGCATAAAATACCATTTGAAAGCTTTGCTTTGCTTCCAGTGGTTATAAAATGATAAAAATGAAAATGCATGTGACTCTTGAAATATGCATTTTACTGTTTTTAATTTTCTGAGCCATATCTTTGTGGAATTGAAAACTTCATATACAAGTAACTAAGCATCAATGTTTTTACTCAGTTCATTTTTTTTATTATAGTGAATGTTTTTGCTCTACCATGTTCTGCAATAAAATTCTGTATAACTCATTTACATTTTTTACTTAGAAAAAAATATGTAGATTCAGATGTGCTTGGTGAACTCTATTTTGTAAAAGTCTTTAGGTTACACTGGAATCTCCAATATGCATCAGGCTTGCAAAGAGAATGCTCAAAATGTTCTGTCTCAGGTTTTTTTATGTAGTTAGCAGTAAAGTTGTTACAAATTTCATGTGTGTATCCAGAAATAAATATCCTTTATTTCAGATATGAATTTGTTGCACTTGACCGTATAATTTTAATTGTGTTTCATTTTAGTTTTGCGAATAAAATTAATCTGAGGTAATTAGTTATTTTTATGTTGGCAAATGATTATAAAAAGAAACTTGTATTTGCATAAATCTGTAAAGGAAAAGATTACATCTGATATGTTTCCAAGGCGTTATTTCTAAGGCAGGTAACTAAATGGGCTCCATTGTAGTAATTTTTCCTTTTTTCAACTTACTTTTAGTTGACTTGGAGCATATGCGCACAGTGAAAGTTGACAAGCACCAACGATTTTGTCAGGAAAACAATTTCAGTAGCCATTTCGTGTCGGCCAAGACAGGAGATTCTGTAAGTATGAAAAATAAAATCCTTGTAGATGATTTTTTTTTTTTTAGGAAAGTCATTATTCTGGGATATGATGTAGCAGTCATGAGACCCTGTTGTAATCAAAGTTTTTAATATGGCTCCTGAGCCATGAGAGACACTTCCTCTGCACGTCCATTGAAATTTGAACATTCCGGTATTTGTAATGCTTTGCAGAGCATGTTTTTGAACAATCTTTTGACTCTGGGCTAACTGGGTTATTTGTTTTAGTTGGAAGCCTATGGAAGAAAAGGTTCTTTTTCAGTTGACAATATCAGTCAAATTAAATCACACTGTATTGTTTTGCTTGATTTGTGTCACATGCCTAATGACTTTGTCATTCCCATAAAACAGTCCTGTATCTGTCTCCTATTTATGACAACGTAATTTACTTTATGTTACTGAATGGTAAGACCACATTCAATTATATGGAAGTATAATTCTGTAACACAAATGGAATCACTTTTTTCAACATCTTTGATGAAACTTCTACATTGCACTGCCTAATTTTATAAGATAACAGGTATTCTGTAAAGTCTAACAATACTGCTGTTATAAATGCAGTGAATCCTGATTCTCCGTATAGTTTGTGTTAAATCTTTGGCAGAAATTTTTGTTTAATGTGGGAAAATTCAAGCTTTTTATTCGAGAAACAAAAAAAATTTATAATACTTCAGTCAATGAAGTGTGCATCTGATAAAATGTATTCCTTTCTCAAGGAGACAACCTTTTTGTGGGATTTGGTAATAGGAAGAAAAAGCAGTACTTTTTATAAGGTTACTATATTTAACATTACAAATCATGAAGGAATCTTTATTACATCTTTTTAATTGATTAATGAATTACAGGAGCATCCCACTATATATACTGATCGTACTTTTTTTTAACTTACTGTTTAAAAACAAAAGTAAATCTGAACGTACCTAGAAAGAATTAACCAGAAATCTGTTTAAATATCTACTAACAAAAGAAGGTATGAGGTATAGTTTAAAGTAGTTTGTTTTTAGTTTCAGTGTAGATCTGAATTAACTCTTTCACTGTTACTGCACACTGGCCTTTCAAAATCTTCACGTATTTGGGTAGTTGTGCAGGAAAGACAGGGTGTTTACCCTAGACAGTGATTTAAGAAGAGGCCATCCATTGCTACTGTGGATATAGACTAGAGGAGTCTTAAATACTCTGTTAAGATAAATGAAGAGATTTGTTTTGTTTACCTCGGATCTTTCCAAGAGACTCGTTTGCAAAAGATAATTTTATGTACATAGAAAAGCCCAAAAGTCTCCTCAGGGGAGAAGAACTTTCATCAAGGATTTAGTATAGCTAACTGTCTTACTGTCCATCAAATTCTATAACTAAAGCACTGAACTCACACCTGATGTTTTGTGCACAAAGCATCCTCATGGCAGGTGATCTAGCTCAGTACACCTGGGAGCCTGGTGTGGGTTAAAGTAGGTGTCTGGAAAAGGTTAGCCTGTTCAGGATTTCCTTTCTTGCTGTGTGGATGCTGGTAGAATAGACCAGTACTAGACCAAGTAGTTCAGAGAAAGAGAAATTATTTTGGAAGGTACCATGGCTTGTTGGTTGTGCCACTAATTCATTACTAGTTTCCATGGCAGGTGTAAGAAGAGATTGTGTAAATGGTTATTTTTTTGAATTTTCATTGAAAATGACTAAAAGCACTTACACAGGCCTTACCTTTTGGCGGTGGCAGCTGCATGTAGAAAAACAGTGCTTGTTAGTAGTTTAGTTTGTGAGCTCAGTCGAATAACCATGTAGATAAAATATAATCTGTAGCTTGACAATACAGTGTTCAGCAGCAGTCCAAACTTAAGCTGCTCCTCTTTAACGTCTGTTGTGTTCTTTAATCTCATTTAAAATGCAGCTGCCTAAACAGTAAGATTGGTGGACTGGATTGAGATGAAGTAAAGGAGTTATTTAAGATAGTGTTGCCACCCCATGTTATCTGTCAAACCATGTCCAAAGTCTAACTCTGCTAGGCTGGTGCACGCTGTACGCCACCTTGCTTGTTTCCTAGAGAACTTCTGTTCAGTGTAACACTCATAATGTTTTGCAAGACTCTTTGGAACAAATATATCATTGCTTGGCTTTTATATTGCTAACATTTTTTAAATGTGTGCAGTAGAGATTTTGGTAACGCTGATGCACAGTTCTGTTGTTCTCAGTTTCAGAAACCTACATCTCTATTGCACAATACACTGGTAATATATTTTTGTGCTAAACATTAGTGAATACCCTTATTCATATTTTATAGCACTGAGAGTAGTATTTGAGAGGTGAGTTGTGTAAAAGCTTGTTTAAACTTAGGTCTCTGGAGGCAGAGTAGAAGGGTTACTTAACAATCCAGCATACTGTTCATTCCTTGTACCATTGTTGAGTTATTTTCTCCAATTTTTAAACAAAATTGAATGTACCAGATGAGGTTATTTTCAGATCTGTTTTGCAAAGGTCATAATTTTGTATATCTCATTGTTTACAGTTCAAGAATGGTTTGATATATTTGAAAGAACCTCAAGGATGTCTGTTTTTAATCATTTAAATGCAATTTAATTTTTTTCCATAGGTCTTCCTGTGTTTTCAGAAAATTGCTGCTGACATACTTGGCATCAAATTAAACAAAGCAGAATTGGAACAATCACAGGTGATTTTCCACAAATACATGTTTTTTATTAGTATTTTAGTTAGTATTAAAAAAATAATCTCATTGCAAATTAGTAACTGTCCTTGAAAACAAGCTGCATCTGTTGTTCTGAAGACAATTATTTACTTTCACAACAGCTTTTTTTTAATATAAAAATTCTTTATTTATCCATCATGATAAACTTTCTGAAACAAGAAAATGTATGTTCAAGAAGTTAGGACAAAACTTTAGTTTGAGAGCTGTTTGTTTAAAAATAGTACTTAAAATTGGTTTAGAAATTAAAACCTCTCTATATGTATGCATATACAGGTATCATGGAGGATACATATATACACTAATTACTGTACATTGATGTCAGATACAGTTTTTATTTATAATTGTTCTTTTTTAATTCTTTAAATATTTAAAAACAAATTTCATTTTAGAACACTACAAATTTAAGTGACAGAGGGCATAAGCTTCTGTGAGTGGAAATGTTGTAAATCAGTCTTCATTGTAGTCATACAGGAAAAAATATTTGTCAGTCACAGAGTCAGGAATTAACTATGTCAAATCCTGTGTTTGGTTAATCTCAGATTTTAGTTTTCATTGTGTGCCTGTATAATACAGGACAAGAATACTTTCCTCAGTAATGACTGTCTGCCTTGGGGAAGGAATATTGACTTTGTAGTCACTATTTCCCATTTTATTCTGACGTGCAGATGAGAAATGAATCCTATTCTGGTTCAGCATACCCATTCTCAACAGCAGGCAGACCTGTGGAATCATGCGTTTGGGTAGCTGTTACAGCTCCCTGGCATCTGCAATTATTTGTCTCACTGTACCAGTCCCAAATAATCACCCTCTAAAGGAACTGCATAGTTTCTGCTCTTGCATTTTGTGTTTTGTTCCTTGCGTTATGAGTGTTATCTTGGGGGTTTTCTGCCATTTCCTCAGCAGTAAGAAAGGACTGAGAGAGAGGAGAATGTTTCCCAGCAATAGGTGGGAAGGTCACCAAGAAGGTTGTCCCCTGATCTCTCACATTGGTTAGCAGTGAGTTAGGGATGTGAATATAGGGATTTCACTGTGAACGCATGGCAAAACCCTGCTGCGTGTCCTGCTCTGAACTGTAGCAGAGCTCTGTTGCAGTTCATGCTATTCAGTAATTGATGTATGCAAAATAGCTCTAATGAGAACATTGTTTTATGACCTTAGGAATTAGTGGGGAAAAGATGTTTTCACTGCTTTTAAAAATTTGAACTGTAACTGAATTAATTAAAATGTGAGTACTTGCTTAACTGTATCTACCAGAGTTGGAAGTCACTTAGTTTTTTTCAGTGAAAGCTGGGAGATAAAAATGTGTTAATTGTTCAAACAAGCAATCAAGCAAGAGGTTTTCTAATATAATCCCTTTTCCCTTACCACCTCCTTCTTCTTAGTTCCTGCTTCTGAAAATAATTTCCCTGCCAGGAAGACTGTGTGCATAGGTTTAAACCAAAGAGATTTTATACAAACCCAGTTTCAGAAACCTCAAAAACAAAGATTATACTACTGAGGCAACCCTTACTATATAATGACATTTGAGATTACAATACGCTTATTTTAAATTTACTTATTGAATGAAAAGGTATCTGTTCTAGTGGTGTAATATCCTGGAACTGCTAGTTACTACCAACATTAAACAAGTACCACAAAATAAGTCAAGTTTATTTAAAAGAAAGGCAAAACATTTCTTATGTACAGCTTGGTCTCCTGCTTTTTTGAAATATACAATAAATATGTAATTTCTGGAAGTGTTTTGCCACAGCAGTGTTTACAATCTGTATTGAAGTGGTTAACTAGAAAACTGTATTGCAAACAGTAAAATGGTAAAATATACTTGTAGTGCATACCTAACAAGCAAAGCTAAGGAGCTTCGAAAAGCTGTAATTTATAGGTAGAGAAATAGTGTCTTTTCAATGATCTTTTACTACTAAGGCACCATCCATCTATTGAGCTCTATGATTACTTGCATATAAATAATTCAGCACATAAACAGTTCTTTAATTTTTCTGTAGTTGTTTAGCTAGCACTGGAACATCAGCCGTAGACCTCTCTGTGCTGTGTGGTGGTGTGTTCCGGTAACTCAGGTGTAAGCTTGTAGATAGGTATGTAAATACCTTAAATTAAAAAGAGAATATGAGAAATGGGGTTATACAGAAAATTGTAGCTTGCTAAAGAAAGTGTCTATTTTTAGGTTGTTTTTAAATTAGGAACCTCTATATAGCCCTGACTCAAGAGTACATAATTTTCTATGTCAAATTGGTATTGGCTTTAAGTAGGCTTCTTCCTACCTCAGTTTTGTAATTACAATTTTTAATTTTGTTGAGCAGATCAATGGAATATGCAATATGTGGATCAGACAAAGTTGATATTATGCAAATTGCAGTAGCAATGGCCTATAAATAGTTAATATGCATAAATTAAATACTCACTGTGGCCCACACGTTACTGTTAATGTGAATCCAAGATATGGCGATTAAAAAAAAGGTAAAACACCCCCTGAAAAACCAAGGACAACAACAAAAAACCAACAAAAGTAGAAACAAGCCAATGCAGATGGACGGAAAAGAAACTTAAAGTCATGATGTGGTGCTACGCTGTGGGTGTAGCTAAAGAGTGAGAGCTGGAAAGCAGCTGCCTAACTTTGCAAGGTTCTGCTAATCAAGCGTAGTTTCAATCTATTCCAAATAAGCAGTAGTTCTTTGTTACCAGTAAAACGTTTGCTTCCTTTGGGAGTGCTCTTTTGAGTGGGCCGTAGGAATTGCCCAAATTTAAGTCAGTGAGAAACCAATGGGAATTGTATTGGAGTGTCTGTCTGTTAGCTGTATCTTAAGATTCATTGTTCCATGGAACCAAATACCTTGGTCACTTCTTAAGATAGGAAAGGAAAAGTCTCTACATAAAATTGGAGAAGGAAAACTTTAACCTTTGTATCCTCAGGGAGATGAATAGAAGGACATTTCCTGAGAGAAATTTATTAGTCTGCAGTGGAAAAGACCAATTGACGTAATGTGTTGATGCTGTTTCCCAAAAGCATGGAGCTGGTTTCTTGGCTGGAAGGAGGTGGTGTTCGATGATACTGCCATTACTAGGGTTCTGGTTTACCACAGACTTCTTTTATGACAGGTACAGGTTCCTTAGTGTGGTGATGTTTTGTTTTGTGTTTTTTTTTTTTTTTTTTTTCCATTTGTGAAATGGGCACAGGTCTGCCTTAAATTGTGGAACAGTCATGTGAATGTGTTCCTTAAAATTTTTAGGCATTTAATACTCTAGCTGTTGGACTATAAAAGTAGATAGATAGATAGATAGATGGATGCTAGATAAATGCTCTAAAGAAACAAATAAAAAAATTACAATAGTGAGTGTGACTCATCCTTAAATCAGTAAGTATGCAAGTGTTAGGTTTAATTTTTAAACAAAGAGTAAAATACATTTTCGTTTTTACAAGTGTGCACTATTTACACACTGGATTATATCTTTGAATTTTCCATATTTTGTGTACTGTGAGGTTTCCTCATTTTGAAAAATGAGAAGGTTGTTGCTTGACTATGTTCATCAGAGGACATCAGATCAGTCTAGGTGGTAACAAAATATAAGGTGAAATACTGAGTTTGTGTAAAATGCCAACAGTGAAATGCTATATGTGAATTAAGTTTTATTATGCATTTCTTCATTATTACTGATTGTCTAATACTGAGAATACTCTTTAAAAATAATTTCTTGCATTTTTGATTTTATGCCTGAAAATCGTATTTCGTGTGTTTAAAATCAATTATAATTGTCACAGTCACTAGGAGGATCTTAGAAGTGACTCACAGGTGGTTAGAAATAAGTAATAGGAATCCCAAACACATTATTTTGACTTGTATGAATTTGTGGGGCTTGACTCGGCTTTTGAGCCTTGATAACTGGCAGAGCTGCAGAAGCTCTTGTGAAAAGTGGATGGGGGTTCTTAGCCCCTTCAAATTAATAGCAAAACTTCTGTTAATTACCTGCAAGAACAAGCCTTAGAAATGGAATTATTTACCATGCGTTGTTTTAGAAAACAGCTGCAGCAGTTTAAGATATTAATGCAACCCAAGCTATTTGTTACTGCCCTTTTGCTGGAATTTATCACTCCCACAGCAGAAACAGAAAATCGAAGGTGATCATGTGCCTTGGCCACATCAGGGTGAAGTTGAGCAGCTTAGCTTAAACTGCTGCTGAAAGTTGTTTTTAAGTGAAGCTGCCAGACTTTGTGCTGAAGCGGATGAGGTGCAAGTACACGTTACATTCCACCAGCTCCTTTGGCAGCAGTGATCTCCAGCAGAGGAATAGGACAGACATTTGGGGGTGGTAAGTTTTTAAACTATCTCAGCTAGAGCTACTAAACCTTGTCTGTTAACATGCTGAGATGACTGTTAATCAAACCTTTATTTGGTCAAAACTGTGGTGAAACAAAGAACTAGATTACTCTTTATGCGTGACTGGAACGTAGAGCATGTTTTTGAAGTGGAACAGCTCCAAAGTAAGAACATTGCAGATTCTGACTTATTTTCAGTCTTCAAAATACTCTCCCTTTTAAATCGCAAGGATCTGATGAAATTTGAGGAAATAGCTCCTTTACTAATCAAATGTTTTTCTTTCTATATTTTTTACTTTCAACCGTGGTGTAAAAACTGCATGGGGTACAGCTTTGTTCCTTGGCATTGGCAAGAGCTAGCATTTTTGTAAGTGATGTGTAGTTTTCTCTTTAACTAACTGCCAGTTCAGCAAACTAGGATGTGCGTGCCAGCTTTGTACAATAAAATGTTTGGCAGATAAGTTAGATCTGGAATTTGGAGCACCTGCACCAAGAAAGGTTATTTCACATTGGCAGTGGTTTGAACCATGGCAATGATATGCCTGACATAGAAACTGATACAAAGAAGCCCACGTTTTGAATTACCATGAAGGTAATAAAAGAAATGTTGCAGTAGTATTTTTTTACTTTTTTCTTTTTTTTTAATTTAGATGAAATTCCTTTAGAAAATCCAAGTCATTTGTGATAGTCAGTTTCTTGCTACAATGTGCCTAAGCATGGGTCACTAACCTGCCTATGTTTACAGGACGGGATTTAGACCAATGTTTTGAGGAACAATTAATTACCTACTGATTGCAAGACTTTTTTTTTTTTTTCTTTCCCCCCTCAGCTCTAATCAAAAGATTTAGTATGAAGAAACTAGGTCCTGTGAGGTCAGGTAACACTGTTTAATGCTAAAACGCCTACTACTGCCTTACATGGGATTTGGCAACCTTTCCCTTGATAACAGCAGGCCAGGAGTCCAGTAAATCATGAGTGTTGTCCACTAGATAAGATAATATGAATGTGATCAATTAAACTCAAGAAGAGTACATCAGCAGCTAATAAATCCAGATCCCTTACCAGCTAATTCAATTATTGTTGCTTGTTTGACATATAGGTTTTATTTACAGAGGTACTCTTTAACATATACTGTTTATATATTCATATAGTCCAGTTTATATATTGTTTCCTTTAAAACAGTAGTATTTATTCATTTACCCATGCATTTTAACCTTGAAAATATGTTGTGTAAAAGTTGAAATATTTAAGAAAAAATTATTAAACTGGTTTGGGATATCTTTCATAGCAGACCTACCTCCTCTGTTACTTCTTTGCTGAAACTGTTCTATGAATTTTTCTCCCCTTTGCATGAACACTGTATTAATAGTGAGAAAACTTTCAACAGTTTTGTTTGTCTTTAATGGGAAAAATAAGAGCCTTTTATTTTTATATGAAATAAAGAAATTCAAAGCTTTGCAGCACTGAGATGTGAGGTTGTTAAATTTATGTCACTGTTTTTGATTATATATTTAATTGTAATGCGATAGTTATGTAATTAAAAAGATGCATGTGTACATCTAATGCACTTGTTACAATTTTTGATAGGAAGCTGACTAACGTAATATTTAAGTACCCTAGACTTAAAGCAATAGGCCATTGTCATCTTTTCTTCCACTGAATTGCCTGTTTATTCTGTCCCTTCTCTTGCTTTAATACACTTTCACTGATTGCACGTATGAATATTTCACTTTGGTGCTTTGAAAGGGCATGTCCTTGAAGAAGCTTGAGAAGCAGCCCTGATGCTGCTAGTGATGCTTCAGCTAGACACATTGCTCTTGTTTCAGCATAAGGCCTGAAAAGAAGTGCACTTTCGTTTTGCTTCTGCATAGTCTTTTTATGTCATTCATTCATTCTTTTCAACTACTGATCAATCTCTCCATTTTTTTTCCTTCTCTTTTCTTCTTACATTCTTCTCCTTGCCCTCTATCCATTATGTTGATACATGATTAACAGCACGTTGTCAGGGCAGAACTAGTGAAATATCCTGAAGAAGATAACCAACGTCACAACACTTCCAACTGCCAGAGCAAAGTCTGCTCAATGCAGTAGTTCAGGTATTGATGGAAAACTTGGGTTTTTTTTCAAGCCGCATTGCTTTTACATGAAGTAACAACTGTTGCAGTAAGTTCTATTGGAAAAATATGTTTTGTATCTGTAAGCACTTTTAACACTTAACATATTAATTTCGAACTCTGTGTACAATTACGTGGTGTTTCTAATAACCAGATAGTTCACAGAAACTTTGAAATACTTCATGTTACTGTATTAGGAAGGTCCTTCAGTGCTGTATATTCAAAATGTTACATAGCTGCCTCAGATGGAAATGGACACAAAACTGGAATTTCATTTCCTTCTCTTCATATAGGAGAGACCAACAGTCTTATCAAATGCTTTGTAAATAGAATGGGTAATATCTGTTGGATCTGTATTATAAAATAAATATTTATGGTATGCAGAGGTTCTTTTTATGTTAATTTAGTCTTTAGTCAGTCTGCCTATCAAAGCTGTTTTGAAATATGGTTGTATTTGAAATTTGTGTTGAATTCTGTCCATATTTTCCTGTGAAGCGCTTGGAGTAAAGGTGGAAAGACAAACTTACATACGATTTCCAATTATAATTTAGGCAGTTATTCTTAAAGAATGCATGCCATAGTCTTTGTAAACAAATATTGTTTTATTATTTCCATACAAATCAATTTTCATGGAAGTAAACCTGTATTCATTGCTTTTGCAAAAAAGTCATGTTCCATTTGTAGTGTTGTGAAAACCTACTAAGGCACTTCCTTCTGCTTAGTATGGATGAACCGGTATTTAGAATGAGAATTAGCACCCAATAAGACTTTCTGGAAGGTAATGAAAAAAACCCTAAACAGTGTCTGTTTTGCCTAATTTTTTTCCCTTCATATTTCATAGTAAATTATCTGTTGAATGCTTTGCCAGCATGAAGATTACTTTTTCTGATTGTTACTGTCTTTTCTTTTATGACAGAGGGTGGTGAAGGCAGATATTGTCAACTACAGTCAGGAGCCTGTGACAAGAACCGTTAATCCTCCTAGAAGCTCAATGTGTGCAGTTCAATGACCATGCTATTCTTCTCTGTTTTGATACCTTTGGCGGTCCTCTTACCTTGACATAGGCTCTGGGATTACAAGGAACTTTGTTTTACCAATGACCATCGCAACAATGCAATTAGAGGTTTCAAAAACACGTTGCACCATTGTACGTTGAGAAGCAGCAGGCAATTTTTTGATGGGCTGAAGTTCAAACAGGAGACCACACGCTCTGAAATTTTAAGATCTTTATTATTTTAAATTATATTTAAATAAAGCAGTATAACTGTGTTTATGTTTCCTCCTATCTATTTGACTGATTGATACCAGAATAAAAATGGATGAAGAAGTTCTGCATTCAAAATACTTTTAAAGACATCACCATGGAAAGGTATTTTGCCAAAGCATTTTAAAATTTTTTTTCTCTTTTTTCTCCTGTGATCTGAACTAACACTCAGCAAAATGTAACTTGGGAAAGCTATTGCTGGAATAATTTTAAGCACATTTTATCTAGGGATAATTTGGGAAGTATTCCATTAATATATATATATATACATAGTGCAAAATGTATAAATCATATCCAGTAAGAAACAGCGCTTGAAATAAAGCTGTAATATAAATATAGTTACTTTTCTGAAGTCTCAAGTTGTCTCCGTGGATGCTCTGAAAAACGCTAATGGTTTTGTGTATTTTTATTACCACATCAGCATTACTTCTTGCAGTAGTAGATATGCTCATATGTCTTCATGAATATGGATGAACCTCAGTCAACAGTTTGGGCTCTAAATGTTGAGTGATATATTCAGCATGCATTAGAAACTGTTGATAGATCAATTAGGATCAGTCATTTTTAATAACTAACTGAATGACTTTTGGCCTGGTACTCTTTTTTTTTTTTTTTTTTTTTTT